AAAAACAAATAATAAATATTGGCTGCATATCGTAGAATTACCAGATGTTAATCTAACTAAACAAGCATTCTATGAACAGAAAAAGTCATCTATATCAAATAGTTGGTTCATTAATCTTAAAACCATATTACAGGAAGCATCATTAGATTTTCTTCTGAAAAGAAAAATCCTCAAAACACAAACAGCAACAATTTGTAAAATTTTACAATCAAATTTATTGTTGCAAACACCCTATGTAACCTACTCTTTTTTACACTATATTTTTTACAATAAAGTTCATTTATTCATTCATTCATATACATTGTAGGTTTACGTTGCAGGTTTGGCCAACTGTATATAGTTACTGACACGCTTGCTATATACCACAAAATATGACTACTGTTTAAGAGTTAATTATTCACTGGGTTTTAATTTTCTTATTTCACAAAATGCGCTAAATTAAAACCAGTGAATATGTAAAATTTAGCATAAAACACATTATCTAAATGATAAAACTGTGAATTCAAAACCCACTGTATACGCCTGAAATGGTAAATCAGCGAAATTTAAATCCAGTGAAAATTGTTCATTTTACAGTACCCAGCACCACCATACTTACTTCTGTTCACCGTGGGGTGGCAGGTCAATCAGGTGATACATGCCCAATTTTTTGGGCATAGTGTAAAAGATTAAATATATAAAGATAAAAGACAGAAAATAACTCTGCGTTGTGTACGGTGTATTTGTATTTGTTAACTAACACAAGACACTTCGCGATGGGCGTCTTTCGCGGTCAGTAATATTTACACAAATTTTTGTTCACTATTTTATATTTGGCTTGGCAATTCCTACCACCTATTAGGCAATGTCACAGCATTTTGGCTACATTTCCAACAAATTCAAAATCACTCAATAATTTTGTTGACTTTACATTTGTACTATGATTACATTTGAGTTTTGATAATTTTAATGTATACAAAAATACCTCCAAAATAAGAGAATTTAGTATAGCCTTGACAAAAAAGCATTATTTTTTCTTTTCTTAATATTGCATTTTTTTTCGATCTGCGTAACTTCATGTGGAAATCCTAATGAGATTTAAAGTTCACAACTGACGGTTTTGCAATATTAGAGATTGTGAATTTGTCATGGAGGCTGCAAACTACAATTTTTGTTATAGATATTGTATTCAATGACATTTATTTGTATTTTGTATTTACTTTTGCCATGAGTTCCACAGTATCTTTTTCTTACTGGTGTGACTACAGTGACTGAGTGGTGTACTCAGGAGTTGTTTTTTGTCGATTGTTATCAGTTGTTTGTTTTGTGTTCTTGGAATTTTGTACAAAAATCAACAACGGTTAAATAGGTATTTTATTCCCACTTTGCAGTATATCGTAGTCATTACTTGTACATGTTTACTTAGTTCTCCAGCATAAATATTGGATTGTTCGGAAGCATGAGATTGTAATGTAAATTTTGTTTATTTATGTTGTACGATGACGCTTTCTCCAGGACCTTCAGAATCCCATGTTGACTATGTCCTGGCCCGTTTTTGACTCCCGTGTGCGAAGCACAAAAAGGGAGTCTTTGCAGTTAGTGTGTCTGTATGTGTGTCTGTCTGTGTGTGTGTGTGTGTGTGTGTGTGTCCGCCTGTTCCACTGATATCTCAAGAACCATACATCAGTTTTTGATGAAACTTGGTGCATAGATGCTCTGGGCCAATGCGCAGATTTGATTAGGTTTTGGTAAAAATCCATGCATATTAATTACCTAATTTGCATGATATTTAGCTGATTTTTAGCTGTTCCATGACTGTTCCACTGATATCTAAAGAACCACTCATTGGATTTTGATGAAATTTGGCACACAGATGCTCCAAACTAATGCACAGATTAGTTTTGAATAAAAATCTGTCCAATATGAATTACCTAATTTGCATAATGATTAATCAATTTTTGACTTTTCCACTGATATCTCAGGTACTAATCATCACATTTCAATAAAACTTGGTACATAGATGTCATAGGACACTGCACAAACCTCATAGTTTTTAGGGTAATATCAGTAGATATTAATTACCTAATTAGCATAATTAATTTTCAGCTTTTGATATTTCAAGTACCGTAAAATCTGTATTAGAAGCCGCATCTCTAATAGAAGTCGCACCCATTCTTTTTGAATAACTGAGAATCAAAAATTCATCATTTCTCATAAGTGTAGTTGCTCTAATAGAAGCCGCATCCCCTCTGTTGTATTGTATTATTCTAATAGAAGCCGCGGCTTCTAATACAGATTTTACAGTAGTAATTGTCACATTTTAATGAAACCTGGTACATAGATGTCATAGGACGCTGCACATACCTGATAGTTTTTAGGGTAATATGAGTACACATTAATTACCTAATTTGCATAATTAATTAATTTTCAGCTTTTGATATTTCAAGTAGTAATCATCACATTTCAATGACACTTGGTACATAGATGTCATAGGACACTGCACATACCTGGTAGTTTTTAGGGTAATATGAGTATATATTAATTAGCTAATTTGCATAATTAATTAAATTTCAGCTTTTGATATTTCAAGTAGTAATCATCACATTTCAATGACACTTGGTACATAGATGTCATAGAACACTGCACAGACCTGATAGTTTTTAGAGTAATACGAGTACATATTAATTACCTAATTAGCATAATTAATTAATTTTCAGCTTTTGATATATCAAGTAGTAATCATCATATTTCAATGAAATTTGGTACATAGATGTCATAGGACACTGCACAGACCTGATAGTTTTTAGGGTAATATCAGTATACTAGTATATTAATTAGCTAATTTGCATAATTAATTAATTTTCAGCTTTTGATACTTTAAGTAGTAATCATTACA